CTGAACTTATGCTGCAGTGACTGGCAACAGTTTGACAGTGCTGAGATTTTAACCCCTGCACCACCAGGGAGGCCCTGTAAGACCTTTTATAAGATAATTGTCTTGGACTCTTCCAATATGCCACAAGAATACTTTAAAAAAAAAAAAAACAGAAATTGTTCTATTGCTATATTAAGGAGACTAAAAACATTTCATAACCAAATACAGTGATTCTTGACTAATCACAAAAATAAACATTTTAAAAGACACATAGGGATAAGAGAAAACTTAGATATTATATGAGTGTTAAGATTTGGAGATCTATAACGGTAAATGGATAAATTGGATAATGCTGTAGTCTTTAGGGGGGCCAAGTGTTATGAGGACTGCAATTTTAAAATGATTAAGGAAAAATATATATATGTGCGCATATATACCCATGCATGAATATATGACAATGATAAAGCAAATGTGGCAAAATGTTAAAAACTGGTGAATCTAAATCAAAGGTACAGTAGAGTTTTTTGCACTGCATTTTGTAGGGATTAAATTTTTTCAAAATAAAAAGATAAAAAAACATTTACCGCCCACATACTCCCTCTCAGGATGCCTCTGGAGGATGTTCGCCACCAAAATGAGGAACTAAATCAAATAATGGGGAGAACATAGGAAATAATTTCTCCACATAACAGAAACAAAGAGAATCTCCAGGATGATGGGAAAAAGTAAGCCCAGGATGATAATTACATAATTGCAGAGGGCAAACAACTTAAATTGGAGCCAGTCAGAAGAGTCTGAGAGAGATTTTACAGAAGATAAAAATTAACAGTATACCTGATCATCTCAATGTTTTAAGAGATTTAGAAAACTGGTGAGGAGTAAGGATGAATGAATAACAAGTACAAAGAACACTAAACAAAGCTCAAGACCATTATCTCTAATATTAACTGTAAGCAAAGTTGTGCAGGAAAGAAATAGATGTTATACAACTAAACTTTATATAGCATTTACATATTCATAGTAATGTAAAGACTGAATATTGACATAACTAAGTTAGCTGGGGGTGTGAGAAAGGCAAGGAGAACAGAAAAGAGAGGAAAGACTCCACAGTAGTACATTAATAGGTCAGGCCTGAAAATGAAAATCCAAAACATAGCAAGACGTATGTTATTTACAAACCAAGGATATAATAACAAATATATTAAATGAAAGTGGGAAGGAGATAGGAACTGCTTTTTTATAGTAACAAACATTGTGGAACCATTTGATTTTTGATTAAAATAAAAATGTAAAATATTTATCCTATGTTATGTAAAGAAGCCAAAGGTGAAGAATGGTATGTAAAGTACCCATCATCTGTATTAAAAACAGGTGCAATGGGAAGATAATATACATAGCATATGAGTATTTGCTTAAATATGAATAAAATCTCTGGAAATTACTAATAAGTTAATATGGCTTAACTCAACATCTGATAGTTTAAAAAAAGTAGTAGTACTATTTGCCAGTGTCTAGCTAGCTGCAAGACAAAGTTAGGAGAACGTCACCATATGCCCATAGGTTTAAAATTTTGAACAATATGATTGTATCATTCATTAGCAACTAAACATTATAAACAAGTTTAACAGTTTTATGCAATAAATTCTATAGTACTCTGACGCCTTTTCTCATATCTGCATAAGCATTTAAGTACAGCTGGCATGTAATTCACTTATTTATTAGTATGTACTGTGTATATGACTGTGAGTTACATCTTCAAATGAGGCAGGGGGAAATTATCCCTCCCAATTTTTATCTGTTGATCTACTACCTTCAGCTTCTTGCAGTGCTCTATAAAACACAAATGAATATTTGAACTACAAAGCAAGGAGATATGAATCGTGTGTTTATTTCAAATATTCTCTAGAAACATTTAGAGGCCTCAGGTAAAAAAACATTTTCTGAATCCAAAAAGCTCTGAAATTATGAATCAATTTATCCTCATCATTTTATTTTATAGAATAGCACTTAGAGCTGGAGATTTTTTCAGGTGTGTCAGCTATGTTTCAAAAATTCTCAAGGATAATAATCTTTCTTGAGAAATATTGCTTAATTTTCTTCTTCTTGCTTATTTATTATCTCAAAGATTTATTTATTTATGCATACAAGAACTGAGGTGTAAGCCAGAGGTTCAGGGGGTGAAAGGACAGAATGGTGAGAACAGGTAGAACTACTGCAATACACTGTTGAGGGGCACAGCTGGCAAGAGAGGAAAGGTCTGCTGTGCCAAGCAGTCAGCTCCCTGGCCCATGCTGAGGATGGAACTCATGCTGCAGTGTCAAGCTACAGAGGCTGGTGATGGCTTGATAGTGCTGTGTCTTTAACCCCTGTGTCACCAGGGAGGCCCTGCCTACTTGTTTTTTTTTTTTAAGTTCTCTGAATGTGTTATACATGACCTGGCAGAGATCTAAAGCTGGAGAAATTTGCAGGTTAAAGCAGAAATTCCTAATCCTTTGGAATTATGACATCTATGTGGAGTTAGGGATTTTTAATTTAATTAGCTGATCCATGACTGCTTGTAAATGGAAGTTTTCAACAGGAGTATCAGGTAAAATATTTCATATTAAGTGGAAAATTAAACTAAAAGTTCCCTAAGGTACATTCCAATACTAAAAGTTTTATTTAGTTCTTGGGTTTTATAACATGGAATCAATGGGAAATTAAAGTTTGCTTTGTCAGAGCCAGAAGTATCAATAAATGCTGCAGCACAAAACACAATCTCTTAGTGCTAATCTATTGATATCACTCTTGATAAACTTAAAACCTAATCAAGTCACTCAAAAACTTACTATCCTCCCCCTCCCCTAACTTGCTATGTGCATAAATGCAGATGTATACAGCAACTTATACAACTTAGGACAGATTTTGAACACTATCTTCACAAATAAAGGGTTATCTTTAAGAATATGTTAAATAATGATATAGCTTTTTCTTCTGCATTGTAAAAGTTTCTCCTCCAATTAGAAATACTAAGTTTCAATAAATTGTTCCATTTTTATTTTAATTTACATTCTTCAGCCAAAATAGTGGATATTAGCTAGTAAAGATTTTAAAAGAAAAGAAAAACGCTAGCCCTAGACTGTGTGACAGATGAACAGTTTTTCCTACCCACTGACAAAAAAGGAAAGAGTTTTCTACATCTGAACCTGTTCACAGCACTTTTAAGGGGTCAAAATCAGATAAGATAGTTGTGAGGCTGACTTTCCCAATACCAATTCTTTGACCTACCCTAATCATTGTCTAAACTGTAAATTATTTAAGCCAAATGCCATCATTTCTCAAATCCCATTTTGAAAACAATTCAATTTTATACCTGTATTTTATCCTGTAATTCAAAACAAAGTTCATGCAACACAAGTAAACAGATCGTTACAATTCATAAATAAATTTTACCTTTGACATCTTTCATAAGCCCACTTTACAATGATTAACAACTATTCTTGGATTCACAATAGTTTTCCTATGTTAGAAATGAGGAAACAGGCAAGAGAAATTAAATGACACGTGTTACTGTGTAGTAAGCGAGCACCTGCCTGGACACTGCAATTGCTCTGTTAGATCAATGTTTCCCTTAATAGTGATGTCAATTAGGCAGCACAGACAGAACTCATCACAGACATTCAAGGCATCTCCACCAAGAGCAAGAGACAAATCAGGATATTTACCCTGGAAGGAAGAAGTAACTATGTAACCAAGTAAGAATGCTTCTCCTTCTACGCTGTGCAGCAGGAGGAGGAAAACAGTGAATGAAAGGAGAGGTTCAAGGGGATTCAACTTCTGAGGCTGAACATGAGGTAGTCAGGTTTATTCCCACACTTGGGAAGTCACTGAAACTAAAGAGCCAGAGCAATCAGGCAAGTCTGGGGTCTTTTGATTTCAGTCCGATTCCTTCCAGACCCCTCTCCAGCCCAACCCCGAGCTCGGGAGAGAGCAGCCCCAAGTGGGAGGGGGGTGCTAAGGATAGGATCCAGTCTTTCTCGTGCAGAGTGAGGTGTGGGGTGCCCTCCCCGGGCCCGGCTTCTCCAGGGCCGGGATCTCAGGCTCTTGGCCGGCCCCATCTCACCTCAAACTCCAAAGCAAAATTATTTAAAAGTATTCCCCCTATGTGAGTAGTTACGGTATTTTTATAGGCTCCTGTGAAATCCACAAGGTGCTTGCGGAGTCCCCGACACTTAGAGGTGATTCTAAGTGTCCACTCGTGTCCACTTCCCCGCCTCCAAATTCAAAAATAACGTTGGCGCTGCCCCGGGTAGGGCCTTCACGCACATTTTCCTCTGAAATCATTCGCCTCACATCACCTCCTGACGCCCTATCTCCAGTGGCTTCCCCTTACGAGTATGGCAAACGGAAAGAGAGCGTAACAACAGGCATGCACATTTACTACGTCCCTCGCAGAAAGCAAAAAAAAGCCCTGGGAGCAGGAACTGCCAAGGGGCAGCCCGCCTGGCCCTGGCTCCCACCACGATACAAAGACACGGCGAGCAACGGAGGCCCGAGTCCTGCACCCCACACCTCACTCTGCACGAGAAAGACTTTCAACGCAACTGGATCCTATCCTTAGCACCCCCCTCCCACGTGGGGCTGCTCTCTCCCGAGCTCGGGGTTGGGCTGGAGAGGGGTCTGGAAGGAATCGGACCACGCCGGGCTGGGGCGGGAGGAGTGGAGGGGACCAGTTCCAGGCAGACACCACAGCCCCTTCCTAGAGGCCCCGGCTGTACGCCTCCCAGTTCCGGGGTCTGAGCGCTCGCCCCCGCGTCCTCAGATCCTTCCCAGACGTCTCCCCAAGGGGGAAGTCGAGGCCCCAGAGTCTCGGAGAAGAGGGCCGGGCTGCCAGGCACTGCCGGGACGGGATGGAGCCCCGGCCGCGTGCGAGCGGAAGATGGGAGGCGGCCCCCGCCTACCGCCGTCCCTCCCCGGGCCCCGGCTTCTCCAGGCCCGGGATCGCGGGCTCTCGGCCGGCCCCATCTCACCTCAGGCTGGAGGCGTCCGTCCCGCGGTCCCGGAGCCCCTACGCGGAGGCGGTGTTGGGAGGGAGGGGACGCCGGCGGCTCGGGCGATGGCTGACAGGCGCGCAGCACCAGGCCGGCCGGGCACACGGGAGGGGGCGGGGCCTCGCGGGACCCAGCCCCGCCCCCGCCCCGCCCCTACCTCCCACCTCAGCGGGCGAGTCCCATGAGGTGACCACGTCCGGGGTTACTCCAGGCCGTTCACCTCCGACCCGGCTCGCGGCAGCGGCGCGGTCCGGCCGGCCCGGAGGCGAGGCGCGGCCCCCGAGGGCCAGTTGACAGCCAATGGGAGGGCGCCGCGGGGCGGGGCGACGTGAGGCGATGCCGATGGTCCGAGCGCCGCTCTGCCATTCGGGGCCCAGCGGCAAGTGGGCGGGCGGGACCCGGCCGCTCTTGGCGCCCCCAGGCCGGCACTCGCCGCCCTTTCTGCGAGGGGCGGACGCTGGGTCGGCCAGCGGGCTCCCCCTGCCGGCGGAGGGGGGAATGGGGGAAATGACCCCATGTGAACCTCCCAGCAAGGAGATGGGTGACCCACCCCAGAACCGAGGGGCCGGGTTAGTCGGCTTGTGAGAGGGGAAGTTGCTGTGCGGGCCCCGTAAGAACTTAAAGCCTTTAAAAGGCGATATTGCATCCTTGAATTGCCCGATATCACACAGACTGGCTTCCAAGTTAGTGCAGACAAACTGATCTCTATTCCAGACAACACAGGCAATCCCCTTGACTTGCTGGAGTCCCCAAAGCAGCCCACACAATGGAGTCTCAGATGTTGGCCCCTGGAACTTCGGGGGAACGGAAAAGTGGAAAGCGAGGCAGTGTGACGAAGGATAACAGTCTTTGCCTGTCCTGAGCACGCAAAATAGATTAAGTTCCTGATTTCTGCAACTAGCGAGTGCCTCCCGATTTCCACTATGATGACACCAAAATCTTTGAGAGAAATTAACCAATTTCTTTAGTTTTGCCAGTTGGTTCTTAGCAAGACTTTTCATGGTGGCAGTGTGTTGAAAATTTATAGTGAACAAAAAGAATCCCAACATAGAATAACATAGAATACCATTGTTGGGCAGGAGAGAAAGAAAATGGCCCTTCAAACGAATGGGATGGGTTCTAACCCCTCCCGAGGATTTAATGGAGTACCCAGAGTGCTTTCCGGCTCTCTAACAAGCTTACGATAAAGGCGACAGTTGTACAAAGGGTGGCGATTTTGCCAGAAGTTCCATGCCAGAGGGCAAAAAATAGGGTGGAAATACACACCTGAAGCCAGAAGTTCCAGGGCAAAAGAAGATCCGTCAACAAAGAACAATTTCATCCCCTCAAAATACCACTAGGTGGTGGTTTCTCCAAGAATCTAGGAAACAACTTTGAAATAGTAGGAACTGGAAACAAATTTGAAAGATGTGGACTTTACAGAGCAGTGACCCATATGCCATAATAATTGCCTGACACTGGATGCATCTGTAGTTGAACAAAGATAGGAAAATCAGAAGTTGATAATTGCCCACAACTTCCTGGTTTAGCAAGATGTTTGACTTGGCTGACTGAAAAAAAAGGCCTTGGCATGGGAAAAGGGATGCTTTGCCTTTCCCTAACAGTGCTCACTAAAGCTGGAACAAATGTAGGACTATAAAAAGAACTAAAAATCTTGACGTTGCCTCCTTTTATCTTACCTTTATTCTATTTTTTTAAAAGATTTTCTTTAATGCACACAGAACAGAACTGGGGTACAGGCCAGAGGTGCAGGGGCAGTGAGAGGCTTCACCAGAGACAGAGTGGGGAGTAGAACGGGCAGATCAACGAAGTACACTGCTGAGGGGAGGACGAGCAGCCGACAAGAGAGAAGAGGTGTGCTGCGCTGCGCCATGTGGGTCACGTGGTGGGGATCGAGTTTGTACTGAAGTGACTGCATCCAGCTTGCAGTGCTGCCCTTTAACCTACTGTGCTACCGGGGAGGGCCCCCTTTGTTCTATTTTGCCTACCTTTCCGAGTTCCTAATCAATCCTCTCAAAACTGTAAAACCAATTTTGAGGGGGTCACTCTCAAAAACTGCTCATATGTGAAACTTCAGCAAGTTCTTGAATACCCTGCTTTTGACCTCACTGAATATTTGAAGCTTTATAAAGAATTAAATAAGGAGAAGGCTAATCAAAGAAAGTGAAGGTTGAGTTAGGATACACCACTTTACATAGATCTAATACTCAAATTACAATCATCAGTTGTTAAGACAACTGGGCAGAGAGCAGCAGAGCTGTGTCTTTAAGATGATACAGCTGGAATTTCAACAACTCTAGTGTCGTGTGGTTTGGTGCATGCCACAACCTGCCCATCTCTACGCTGGCCTAAACTTTAGCACTGTCCCAGGAGTTCTTGCCACATGAGCCATTATGCCAGTGAGAGGCGGAGGAGGAGAGCCAAAGGGTGGAGAGAACTTACTATACAAGACTAACAGGTGGAAGAGAAGGGAGTGAGTGGCACATTTTAAAAAAACTGAAACCAAGTATCTATTATGGGCTGAATTGTGTACCAAACTTCAGATGTAAAAGTCCTAAGCCCCCAACACCTCAGAATGTGAGTATATCTGGAGATGGTATATTTAAAGAGGTAGGTAAAATAAATGAGATTAATGGGGTAGACCCTAATTCCAATGACTAAGGTACTTGTAAACTGATAAGATTAGTTTGGGGCTCCCTGGTGGCACAAAGAGTTAAATCTAGGCACCATCAAGCTATCAGCAGCCACTGCAGCATAAGTTCAATCCCTGGCTAGGGAGGTGACCCACATGGCACAGCAGACCTCTCCTGTCTCACCCGCTGCTCCCCTCAGCAGTACATTTCAGTAGATCTGCTGTTCTGCTCCCCACTCTGTCTCTGGTGAGTCCTCTCACCTTCCCCAACACCTCTGACCTACACCCCAACTCTTATATTCATAAATTAAAAAAAAAAATTACATTCGCAGAGAAAACCATGTGAACACCTGGGAAAAAGAGAGGCCTCCGTAGTGGCCTAAGGGTTAAGCCTCAGTGACACCACCCTATGGTGTGAGTTTTATCCCCAGCCAGGGAGCTGACCCACATGGCGCAACAGAGCTCTCCTGACTTGCCCACTGCTCCCCTCAGCAGCGGATCTGCCTTTTCTGCTCCTATCTCTAGTGAGTCTTTTTTTCCCTCACACCTCTGGCCTGTATCCCAGTTCTTCTACTCAAAAATAAACAAAATCTTTCCAAAAAATGAATAACTAGGGAAAAGAATGCCATCTGCAAGTCAGAGGGGCCTCAAAAGAAACCAATCCTGCCAATACCTTGATCTTGAACTTCAGCTTCCAGAAAGATAAAGAAATAAATTTTTGTTGTTTAAACAACCCAATCTGATACTTAATTATGAAAGCCCTAGAAAAATAATACAAAGCCCCAAACAGCAAGTGGCTTCCAGGCTTCTCAAGAAGGTTGTTTAAAGGCATCAGGTATTTTTCCTGAGCATTCCAGCTACTTTCCAATCTTAAAGATGGTCCTGCAACCATCAGGCACAACTGGTTAAAACACAGCACTATGAAGCTCTCTACAGCCACTGCAGCATCAGTATGATCCCTGGCCAGGGAGCTGACTCACACGGCGCAACAGAACTCTTCTGGCCTGCCTGCTGCTCCCCTCAGCTGCACATTTCAGTCTATCTGCCTGTTCTGTTCCCCATTCTCTGTCTGGTGAAATCTCTCACCCCCTTGCATCTCTGTCCTCTACCCAAGTTCTTGTATGCATAAATAAATAAATCTTTTTTTAAAAAAGGATGTCATGACTAAAAGTAAGAAAAGTCGCAGGCATCCCACTCCAATTATACATTAATATATAATTGGAAAAACAAAACTAAACACCAAAACAATATCTATATTTTACTACCTAGATGATAGTGATATGGGTTTTATAAAATCCATAAATAATGGAAAATAAATTCTCAAAAATGAATAAACCCAGAAGTACAGAAATAGTATGTGTTATTGTGCAGGCCATTTTGGCATTTTATTATGAATTCTACTTTAATCTGGGACAGTGTTTCTCAAAGTTATGTTACATTGACCAACTGAAACAGTGTCTCATTAGGTACGTACTTGTTAAAAATATAGATTCCGGGTCCTCCCAGGTGGCGCTGCGGATTAAAGCACAGCCTGAGAAGCTAAAGCCGCTTCCACAAGAGTTTGATCCCCGACTGACCCAGAGGTGACCCACATGACGCGGCAGACCTCTCTTCTCTTGCCTGCTGCTCGTGCTCCCCTCAGCAGTGTACTTCGTTGATCTGCCCGTTCTGCTCCCCATCTTGTGTCTAGTGTGAATCCTCTCGCCGCCCCTGCGCCTCTGGCCTGTACCCCAGCTCTGTATGCATAAATAAATAAATCTTTTAAAAATATATATATAGATTCCCAATCCCATTACAGATTTTCAGTAATCCTGGTAATGGTTCACCATGAAATTGAAGAACAATAGTGTAGGATTTACTGTATTGTTCTCTCTGTTGCCAGTATCTGTTAAATAGAATGCCTCTTATACCTGTGCTTCCAGAATAGGACCAATCAGGCCTGAGGTGAATCAAAGGAGATAAGAAAATGCCTAGTAAAAAATGGAAACCATGAAGTCACCCCCCTCACTCCCATTCCCCTTCTGATGGTTTTGGCCATGGTTCCAAATTCCTTAACTAGGAAGGTCAATGATTAACCTTTAGGACAGAAGATAGAGAAATACCAAGATGTTATTTCCTACTGGCCCCAATACCTAACATCTACTCTAATCTGGCATCTAGCCTTTGCTGTGTTTACTCCTACCTTAGCTTATGCTGGCAGACTTGGTCTTCCTCCATTCCTCCCCGCTAATTATCTGAATCTAGTCCTTAAAAGTACCATTTCATCTAAACTCTCTTACTTCTCCAGTTTCTACTGACCCAACTCTTTTCTGAATGCTGTAGCAATTGGGTCACCAGCAGCTGGTTCAACATTTACTAAGCTATAACTTTTTGTGTTTGTTTGCTTTAGCTCTCCAGCTAAATGTTACTAACCTTGAAGTCAGAAAGCATTTCTTATAGTTTTATATTTCCCCTCTGGAAGC